GTTTGAAGGCCATAATTCTTGCCAAAGGTGACCAATTCGAACAAATCTAAAATTATTCTAAAATTTGATGATTTTTTCCGATATTTTTGGCTTTCATTCAATACAGCTATAAAAATGTAAAAATTATGGCGTTTGACTTTGTTGCAGTTTTTTTTATCTCACCCTGTATATAGAGTGTATATTCATAATTCTCTTTCTCTCTCTCTCTCTAGATGTCTTAATTGACACATCCACATACATTTCAATAACTCAATATTGCTAGCAACCTTTAACAAGTAACGCAGAGTTACTTGTCGCTCGTTCTCTGTTCAATAAACAAATTGTTATCTCCCCTCTTCGCATCAACGTCAAGTGCAAAAATAAAAACAAAACTTCATCCGTTTTATTTTTGTTTTCTGATTAAATTATCAACTTCAAAATGCAAACAATGGTCCGATGTTCGGCAAGTTTTGCCAACGTTTCACAGAAAAAAAACTTCGACGTCAATGGAATTTGGCATAGGGTTAAGTGAATTCGTTCTCTCAATTGAGATTGTTGTCATCGATGAGGATGATGATGATGTTGTTGTTGCTATTTGTCTTTTACGCTTGAAGTACATTGCCTCCCTCCGTCATTGTTCATCTTTCGTAGAGGATCCATGGAAAAAAAACTAATCATGCCATCCCCGGATGATTCATCATTAGCTTGGTTCATAAAACAAAACATTTTTGGTTTTATTTGTAATGAGTAATTCATTTAATGTATCTTTTCTAATATCCCACTTACTCCTCCTTCAGTTCTTCATGTACAATGAAAAGTCATTAATTAGTCAAGTCTTAGAAGTTTTAATGAACTTTTTGGCTTTGAAATGGACAAAAAGTTTTAAAATTTGCGAAAACCCCATTGATAGCAACTAATTAATCATTTTGAAATTTTAGAATAAAAATAAACAGTCCGAAATGTATACTGCAAGGGGAAGCCTTTAGATTTTAGCGGAATTTCGTGAAAGAAATTAGCGTCTACAAAAACATTGATTTCATAATAGCGACATTCCAGGGAAAAGTAATAAAATCCAATTGGTATTATTGTAAAGAATACTTTTCATTCACTTGTTGTATATCGCTCCCGTTCATTAATTCAAATAATCCCAATTACACAAAATTATTAACCCACTTGTTTGAAATATAATGGTCAAATACAATTCGAATTCCGAACAATAGGTGTGTACGTTTATCCAATAATTTGTAATATGTTTTTACAGATGATTGCCAAATGCTGTTTCATAACCTTAAAGCTCAGTAAGGGAAAAAGAGTCAAGAGAGCGAATTTGTCAGTTGAGTCAGAGAGAGTTTGCAAATTATTGCTGTTTTTTTTTTTTTTTTGAGAAGCTGTTTTCTAGCAGGTTTTTTATCGAATGGCGATCGATAAATTTTTGCAAAAGGAGTTTTTGTTTACTCGATAATTTGTACGAATTTTACGGATGTTCGTTTACTCAATAGGTCAGTACAAATGAAATAGGTCGGAAAAGTAATCGAACCTTCATAATATTTCTACGTGAGAGAGAGAGTATACTCTCAGAACATATTACTGAGTATTATTTAATGGAAAATATAGCGAACACACCTAATGTCGTTCAGATGTAAACATGGTCTGTCATCGCATATGACTGTGTCCACCGCCTCTCTTGTTTCTCTTTCTCATTAGAACGGCAGCAACGATCAAGTTATTAACCATCAATTACGTACGAATGAGCACACACAAGTTCAATAGAATTTGTGCTAAACGAATTAAATGCAAATTCAATTAAAATCAACTTTTTTGTACATCTAAGAGGAGAAACTGGTTTTATTTTATGACTCACACATAAATTATCTGGAAAAGTGAAATGAATTGTCTGGGCAAATAAAATGTAATAATAAATTGAAATCAAATATGACTTCAACTTTGCTTTCAAATATTGACAATATTAGGTGTATTGTGATGGTTTAGAATTCCAATGTGTAAAAGACCGTGTGTATGTAGGTTTTATACACTATAGATTATATATTTTGTACATATAAATCATATAAAAAAACTTCTCCACGCACACCTAAGATAATCCCTTTTTTCTAAAGATTTCAATGGGAATTGTATGCTTTCAAAACATTCGATAGGTCCTTAAGTAAATATGCTCCACAGTTTTATGAAAGCTATATGAGACGACGAATCGATTACCAGGTAATGTAAACAAAATACCTTCTGTATATTCAATAGATTGAAAATAGAGAGTTGTGTATCAAATCCTCATTACCAAGTAATAAGTGAAGTCAGCACAAAACCTAAGGTTGTGAGTTCAAACTCAATGCCGGAAAAAACATTATAAAATACGATGAGCTTTTAATGTAAGATTTGAAACAGCCCTCAATGTTTGCAACCGTGGCGTATAGTGTATTTTACTTAAAATCAGAAAATTGCGAGTTCATACCAGCAGTAAAAAAGAGGATAGCCACATTAATTCATAAAATAAAACAAAACGTGTTTAAATGACCAAAGTATAACTACATTCTTCGGGTGACATGCCCTTTTAAAAATAATGAATTAGTAGGTTGATTTGTAAGTAGTAACAACTGCTAAAAACTGCATAGTCTTAAAGATTTCAGTCAGTATCGTATAAATCTGATATCATAAGAATTCTAAAGGGAAATACTTAAAATATAATATGTTGAAAGATGAATCGGCACACATAAATACGTTCAATTAGGCGACGCCGAAAGTTTTATAATTATCTGAAGGAAAACGAACAACTTTTTTATAAGGAAGGTAATAAGTAGGAGGGCACTTTGGCACAAAATAATTAATGTCCACAAAACTCATACAGTTCTGTTCCCAGGGAAAAAGAGAAAGGGTAAAATGACGAATTATTTTTTTTTAAACTGGCTAAGTACAGAATTGTATCATTACTGCCATTGACTGAAACGTTGATTTTGAAGGATTGCGATTTATTTTTGCCTTTTTTAATAGCGTTTCGTTCCCGTAATTTTTGGGCAACGAAGTTCTCTCACATTTCTCTCTTCTACAAGTTAAACTATTAACAAGTAAAAAAGTATCAGTCGATTTTTCCGACAGATGTATACCCCCAGCCTTGAGTTGTGCTTATTCAAAGTGTGGACCCTTTATGGGAGAGATTCCAAAGCAGCTGCCCAATATTTAACAATACGTATCTGACCTAATATAAATATTACAACGTGGCAGATTTGGCCTATTTCGAGTACTTCTTATACTTTATATGAGATATGTGCAAATTTTTGGAAAATGTGGAAATATGCGGAGCGAAGTACTCCATTTTCATACTTCATCTAATACAGATTAATATATTGGTATGTGCAAAATTTGAAGGAATTCGAACACTTGAAATCATAAATTCCGATAAATTACATATTCATATCAGATTTCTGGCTAAGAGAAATATTTAGATATAGCCAATTGTAAAGCATCACCGACTTTTTTCGAAATTTATGACAACTATAATTATTGGAAATTGTGACACTTTGTGGGTTAGGGAGTGGCAGATATATATCATCTTCACAACAGATCTTGCGTTAGCAAACATATTTGGATGTGTGAAGGTACCAGAAGAAATGGTCCAATATCTACCATTGTTATAACAGATCTTGTGTTGATGAAAATATTGAAAGTTTGAATGGAATCGGTTGTTAATTTCGTGTTTTATGAGCCTCATGGGTACTCAAAATGTTGACCCTTTATGGAGGAGGTATAATAGGGGGTGGACCGATATATCCCATCTTCAGACCAGATAGTGGATTTATAAAAATATTGCGATATGTGTAATTTGAAGAGAACCGGATGCTAATTTCGGATTTTATAATCGTTTTGCTTTTTCAAAACTTTGCGGGGGAGGTACCAGAAGAAGTGGACCAATAAATTCCATCTTCACAAAAGACCTTGGAGTAATAAAAATATTTTGATGTGTGTAATATGAAGACGATTGGACTCTTACATCACATTTTATAAGAGTTATAAATTTTGACAGTTTGTGGGGGAGGTACTTGATGGAGAAGACAGATATTGCCCATTTTCGTACCTGACCTAACACTAATGCAAATATTAGGATATCCCAAGTTGGAGCAAATTCGGATTATTCTTTCTCTTTCTGTGCAGTAAATTATTTTCTTTGAAAATGATGAAATTTTGTGGGGGAGGTACCAGAAGGAGTGGACCGATATTGCCCATCTCTGAACTCGATCTAAGTTTGGCATCAAATCAGATACTCCGTTCTAAAGGTATAGTGCGCACCAGCCAGACAGACGAACGGACATCGCTAGATCGACTCCAAATATCCTGAAGCGGATTTGGTCTAAAGAGACCTAGAGTCTAAAACCGTTATTTGAATGAGGCATTTTTGGCCTATGTAGCCTCTGTAGCCATATGGCTGTGGGTATAAAAATGTGCCTTAAATCATTCTATGTAGGCGGTATACTACAGAAGAATGTAGAAGATATAGCGATATATATTATCTTTTTGGCAACTCTTTTCTCCGTGTAAAATATCTTCAGTTTGGTCTAAAATTTAGCCATGAATTGAAAAGCATGGAACGAAAAGCACTTGCAAATCATTGAATTTTATTATCAAAATGCGTGCTCTGTTAAGAAAGTTCATCGAGCATTTCTTCCATTTTATGGTCAGGACTTACTCAAGCGTCTCCTCGGGTTTTTGTGACAATTTAATCAGTTGATTGCTTTAATTTTATCTATTTTTATTAAATTTATATTTATATTTCCCAAATACCCCAAATATTTCATACATAAATTAAACATTAATTTGGTGTAATTATTAATTTACAGTTAAATATTTCCCGATGAGGGAAATTTGTTTAAAAAGTATATGTTTTTTTTAATATAAATAGAAGCAAATTACGCTCTAAAGTTGGTTTGTTGTACAAAAAGATTCACACAATTTAAAACGGCTTCATCAAAAGAAATATTTTACGAATTTTTGTGGGCTATAGAATATAATCTACTTACCTCTTGATGCAAATCTATATCCATGGCCTCTATTCCCATATTCTTATTTTGCAGTCTAAATTAGTCTTGGCTTGATGGATTAGTCAAGTAGGAGTAAGCAAATGTTGTAGAAAGGATGTTACGTTAGATATGGTAGTTGGTGGTAGTTGTTAGTTCGGACCTGATTCCTGGCGAAATTTTGTATTAGTAGTAAGGATTTGATGAGAATGCGTAGAAAACATTGGACATAGACATTTTACTGGTGACATTTGTTCATTTCTTGCGGTTTTTTTGCTGGCCATTTGGCTAAGCCATGTTGGTGGTGGTTATGAAGAGTTGCTCCTCGTTTTTTTTTAGTTAGCAACACCCGCGTTTGAATCGCATTGCAGTTAAAGCTTTTCCCCCATTTATTGTTATAACATAAAGTAGAAGTAGGAGTAGTAGTAGTAGTAGTGGTATGGATATGTGGTGTTGTTGTTGTAGTTCATGGAATAGCAACCTGTGCTTGTCATCTGTCTTGCATTCATTTTGTACAGTGTGCACGCTGCTGAGAGTCTGTTGTTAATGTGGTTAGTAGTAGTAATATATGGGTAGGTGTTGGGTGTTGTGAGTTCGTGTGTTGTTATCCTTGACAAAGGACAATTTACAAGACAAACAAATGTGTGGATGTGTGTATGCGAATCACAGACAGAGAGTTGTACGAAAAAAGTAGGTGTCAACTGTTGTTGTTGTTGTTGCTGTGGTGTGGTTTGGTTTTTTTTTGTCACGCTTTCGGTGTAGATGGTGTTAAAGCCATTTATTATGACCGTGCAACAGAGGGCGTATTAGGAGGAACTTGTGTGTGTGTTCGGTGGTGGGAAAGAAAAGTGCTAAGAAAAGGAAATAAGAAAAAAAAAAAAAAAAACAGAAAACTTGTCGGAAACCCAAACATTGCATTTGGTCCAACAAAGGTGTTGCGCATTCCCAGGCGTTTGACGTTTAAGTTTGAGTTGGTTGTGTTGCTTACGTTGGCTTCTTTTTCAAATGAAGTTGCATGTTGCTGTTGTTGCTTTGCTTGGGGAAAAGGACAAACAAACATACGTTGCATTCCCACTGCGGTGTTGTTGCACTCACAGTGCAATCTTGATATTAAACCGGATTGTGAAAGGTACATATATGCTACAACATGTTATATTGATAATAAAACTTGCCAAGTGTTAAACAGAGAAATAAAAAAATCCCAATCATTGAAATTAATAGATAAAATACTGAAAATGTCTTGCAAAAAATAAAATAAAAAAAAAACAAAATTCGTTTTAAATTAAAAACAATTCTTTGGTTTATTATTCTTTTTTTTTCTCTCGACAAAAACAGACATTAGCTGGAATAAATATGTATAAATATTTCAAGGCTCAAGGAGGAGGAGGAATGTGTTGGACATCGCCTATAACTATTAATGATAATTGTACTATTTTATTTGGATAACATGCTATAATATGGAAACAAGATTTTCCATAATTGTACAAAAGTTTTTGTTGGTGGGGTTACCACAACATTTTTTCAATTAATGCATTAATTAATTGCAGCAAACATAATTTTATGTTTTTGTGTTGGTAAATAAATTATTGTTAGCCAATATGGAGAAGAAAAAAGGGGGTGGTGGAATAGCAAGAAAATTGAAATGTCAACAACAGCATGCAAGAATAGTTTATGTATTTAATTGTATTCGTAGCAATAGGAAAACAAAACGGTCAAAGGTGGAGATGGAAAATGATGTTGAACAACAACAACATAAATATATGAACACAAAATGAAAAAGCAAAAAATCATAAATGCAATGAAAAAATAAAGAAAAGAAAGAAAAAAGAATGTGGAAAAAAAGGAAAAATAATAGATTAATAACTGCAACTTGGGTGGAAAGTTGAGGATGTTGGTTATTAACAAGCAATTGTTATAAAGCCAATTACAGATTTAAAAATAATCAATAAAAAATAAACGCTGTTATCGCTCTCTCTCACTCTCTCATACATTGTATCGGTCTTTATATGTTGCCACCTACCCGACAACATAGAAAACAGAATTGCCATTATGTCTCTAAGCAGAAAAAGTCATTAGGGTCAAAATACATATAAAACAAAAACAAAACGAGAATAGAAAGAAAATAAATGAAATTAAATGAGATTACATTACATCCAGTCGATACTGGAAATTACTGCTTTGAGAAAAGCAGACAGACAAACGTTAATACAATTGGCAAATGGATTTGAGCCAAAATTGGATCGACGAGAGTCAATTCTATGTTGCATGTATTTTCCTGGGCTGTTACAATACCTAATCGGCGGCAGTTTTTGATGTTACAGGGTTATATTGAATTCTTCATAACTATGTAAAGAGAAGTCAATATTTTATCTTGAAAACTAAAAAATCTCTCTTTAAAATTACCGAAAACATCTACCAGGTTCTAAAAATTTTAAAATTGTAGTTAAATGTGGGTTTTACAAAAATATTGAAATATTGCAGCCATTGAACTAATTTATTAAAAAATAAAATATCACTACAAGGTAAGATATTTATGTGAAATGTTTACATTACCGGTAAGATAAAGAGTTATGAGTACTTCTTTAAAAGGCTCATTGCATGGTAATGATTAATGTTGACTTTTTTTGTCAAAATTACTAAGTTAACATTGTCAATTCTCAAAAATACTAAAAGGCTTTAGAATCATTACAAAGTTATGAATAACATATCCATGACGAAGTTGGATTTGAAGCTTGTGGTGGGCTGAATTACAGGACATTGCAACATGAAGGCCAAGAGTTCCAAGTTGGGGGTGGGGGTTCCTGGTGGAGGACGAGGAGGAAACTGAGACGGTGGAGCACTTACTCTGCCACTGCCCAACTCTTATCGGAGTGAGACATACGCTACTGGGTAAGCAGATTCTGCCCGACTTGTCCTTCCTCTCCGATACCGAGCCAGCGGTTATTCTTAAGTTAGCCAGAAGACAAAAATGGCTAAGGACGACACACTGATTACACCGTAGATACAAACCTACTAACTTCTCCATTCCTATCTTCAAGTTCACGCTTCTTCACTATTCGTTTCCTTCCATCTTATTACTCTATTCTTCCATCTTCTCTAAATTCGGATGAACACAATGGACCAATAGGTCACCGAGTGGAGTGTTTACACAACCACGCATCCTTTAACCTAACCTACGAATAACAGTCATTTAAATGTACTTTTTTGTCCAAATTACAAAATTTTTGTAAAATCCAGGAAGAAAATTGCTACCACAAACTCATTAACAGTGATTTATATAGGCTTGTATCCAAATTGCAAATTTTTCAATCTAGAAAAAAGGAAAATTGCTGTCACAAAATCAATACTTGATAAAACATATAAGTTCTCTTTCGCATTACCGGTAAGATGAATGGTAATTAGTAATTCTCAAAAATATTAAAACAGTTTTTGAAATCTAAGTTTTCTGTCGAATTTACCAGATATTTGTGAAATAAAACAAAAAGAAAATTTTCTGCCACAAATTCATTACAAGGTAATATTTATAAGTTACCTCTTGCATTGTTAATTATCTAAAATATTAAAATGCTATAGCACCATTACATGGTAATGAGTCATTTTATGCAAATAATCAGTTTTGCTTTGAATCCAACAAATAGAAACTTACTGCCACAAATGTTTTGTATTTAAGTGACCTTTTGTATTACCTGGTAAGCGGAATGGTAATTGATAATTCTCCAAGACATTGAAGTGCTTACCAACCATGGCATAGTAATGGGTCCAATGGGTTGGTCTGCTCTAAAAATCGCAGTGGGCGTAGTGACTGGCCGCTGCAGTATCAGATATCTGACTTTAACATGGGATAACAGCGTACTTAACTACTGTAGTCTATGTGAATATAAAGAAGAGGTTGAGGCAATTTAACACCTACTAAGCACAGGTGGGAGATAGAAATTCTAATGTTCTTCTGAAACATAGATCCCATTATCGTCTACAAATTTGTGTAAAGCTAAGCAGACCAACCTACTAACGATAAATCTCGCTTTATATCCTTCCTTCTCTTTCTCTATCATAAACAATTCTGTCTCCTATAATCATCAATTTTATTCTTCCTAGGATGAACACAATGGACCAAAGGTCTTTGAAGTGTAGCTGCGCATCCTCAAACCAACCATCTCCAGATTAGAAATTCGACGGCGGGTCAATGTCAAAAAAATAGGTCTTTGTTTAATTTTTTTACAAGAAAACTGCAGATAATTTCCTTATATTTTAAATAGAAATGGATATTTATAGGAAAGCTAGGGCTGGATATTTATAGAAAAGAGGGGCTGTATTGGTCATTGAAATAGACTTTGTTGGTATTGGATTTTTGCTGCATTCTCCCAAGCCGAATGAAAATATTCTGTAAAATGCAGTTAAAAACACAATTTCAGTTTTTAAAATTACTTCTTACACGGATTCGAAAATATTATTTACAAAGTGGAGAGAGAGAGATAGACAGAGCGATATAACAACTTAATATCAAAAATAAATAAAAGGATATAATACATATTTACATAAAGTGTATAATTTACAAATGTATATAAGTAAAATTAGATTTGTTTTAATAGAATTATTTAAATCATAAAAATCATTGAAACTATATTATTGTGTGTTAATTTGTAGTTAGTAATTTGTTTTGTTATTTTATTTTTTTTAATATTGTTTTTTTTTTTAATTATTTCACAACATTAAACATTTTCTTTTTGTTAAATTTACAACTAATGTTAGTAACAATGGTTATTTATTTTATTTATTTATTATTATTTTTTTTTTTTTTTGTAAAAGTATTAGTAGTAGTTATGGTATTTATAAATATTTTAATTAAATGTATGTGATGGCGTTAAATGAGTAACGAGAAAAAATAAATTAAGAAGTAAAATAAATTTCAAAACAAAATCATGTTAATTTTTTTTTAAATCAAATCATGTTAGCTTTGATTTACAATCGATGATTTTTACGTAGTAATTGATTTATCTTCTCAGTTTGAAAAAAATCTGAATGGATGATTTTTAATAAAGTCTTGGCAGTCATTGAGTTAGTCAAATAATGGAAGATTAGTGTTTAAACGAGTGATGAAATAAGTTTCTGTAATAGGTCATTAGTGAATATCTAAAAATGAATATAGATTTGCATTTGAGCCAGATGTAGTTTTGATACCGAAAAAATACAATGAATAAATTTAATTATATATGGAAGGAACTTATTTTCTGGTTAAGACCTTGTCCAATGTCAATAATCTAAGAGCCACAATCTTTTAACATTCCCCTGCTGCAGAGTAGCAGGATCATAAATCTTGTTGTTTAGACTATGGGTATACATTTTTGTCATCAAGGAATTCATTGTTAAGACATTGGAATAAATGCTGGGAAACCGATATGATATCGTTCAAGGGACCAAAAGATAAAGTCTTATTTTAATCAGATTATACCAAGTACATAGAAGCATCTAAGATATCAAACTCTCATGGAAACGTAACCTAAAATAATGAGCTTACGAAGTATCAGTGGTATAGGGTGAAATAAAAAAAACTGCAAACAACTTCAGACAGCTGTCATTTCTTAGCCACTAGTCCGACAGCAGTTAAAATTATTCCAGTGACAGCTCATTATATTGTTTACAAGCGTACAAAAACATTTTCATGAGAATTTTTCAGAAAAAAAGTTATTCGTGATGGAATTCAAGCGTGATAGTGTGATTTCTTTATATTCGGCTGGAAAATCACAAGTGGTTATCGTTAGAGCACTCCAGCATTTAAATGTGAATAAATCTTTTGTGTCTCGTACCATCGGTCGTTACCGTGATATTCTTCGCTCGTATTAATATACCGTGGCATCAGAAAATATGCTGAATATTATCGCGAAAATATTCTGGAGGGTATATTAAGGCCATGGCCACGCAAACATTATGTCCGCAGACCTTGGACATTCCAACAGGATTCAGCACCATCACTCTAAGTACGCGCCACCCAAGAATGGTTACAAAATGAGGCTCCTCGCTTCATTTCCAGTGCACAATGACCACCAAAATCCCTGAATACCAATCCGTTGGACTATTATATCTGGAGTATTTTGGAAAGCAAGGTTGGCACTAAAAAATACCAAAGTGTCGATCACCTCAAGCAAGCGCTTCGCCGGTAATGGACCAAAATACCGCAGAGCAACATTCGGGTAGCGTGTGACGGTTTCATTGACCGTTTGAAGGCCATAATTCTTGCCAAAGGTTAACAATTCGAATAAATCTAAACGTATTCTAAAATGTGATGCTATTTCCGACATTTTTTGTTTTAATTCAATAAAATAAAAAAAATGTAAAAATTATGGCGTTTGACTGTGCATTTTACACATATTGCAAAATATTTTTTTAGCAGTCGGAGTCTTAAAAATAAATGGAACCCAATATACTCAGACTGAGAAAAATGCAGCACACAAA